TCTCTCTCTTGGCTCTGCAGGTCCAGCAGCTGCACACGGCAGAGAAGCACCAGCCGCTGGCAAGGATGCACCTCCAGGGGCACCTCTACCATTGGCAAGCACCCTTTGCATGTGCTGCCTCCTTCAGTGGTGCACACAGGACTGCACCCTCCTGCTGGATCAGCTGGCACAGTGGCAGAGGAGCAGCTAGTGGACTCACGGGCCTGGTGAGCCCAGGAGATGGAGTGAGGGTGGTAAAGGGAACAGGAGGACCGTGCCTTCTGGAACAGGCTCTTCGCCTCCTTGAGAGGATGCTTGAGGCCCAGGAGCAGGTGCAGTAGAGACAACAGAGGAGGACCACCACGTGCTGGATGCCATTCTGGCCCTGGTGGTTTCCTTCATGCTGCCCACGGTCCAGGCCCTGGCCCCGGCTCTTCCTGGCCCCTGACCCTGGCCCCAGCCCTATCTGGCCCCAGGCAGCCACCTACAGTCCAGCCCCAGCCCTGCCTGGCCCCTGGCAGTCACCTGCAGTCCAGTCCCTGGCCCTGCTTGCCCCCTGGCAGCCACCCAGTGCCTAGCTCCCCTAGTGGGCTTGGGATGAGGTCCAGTGCCTCCTGTAGTGGCCAAGGCCCCTTGCCCCTGCTTCTGAGCCTGGTCTCCCAGCAGTCTGCCCCCTCCTGCCCCCACTCTGCCCCCCGCGCTGCAACCTGGGCCACCCCCTGCTGCTCACCCAGGTGCCATGTAGCTCCTGAGTGGGAGTTGCTTGCAGCAGGGCCAGCACCATATATGGGCCCTACTGGCCCCGGCCCTGTGGTGGAGGGGGAGCAGGTTGCACTGCCTTCGCCCCTGGTCAAGCCCCACAGCCTACCGGCCTCACCACATCAGCCTCACCCTTGGTGTGGCCAGAGGCTGGGGTGCCAGGCACCTCTCCCCAGGATCCATCCCGTAGGCACCTCCACTCCACTGTTCGCTCTGGGAGGTCACACGCTACACTGTATATAATTGTATGGGGAAGAGGGTGCTTTATTGGTGGGCAGTGGGGTTGGGGTGGGATCTGTTGTTGGGAAGAGAGGGTGGGAGAGAGTCTGCTGTTGGGGATGGAAATAAAGACTGTTGCTTGAAACTTAGTGTGTGTGGTCTTGGGGGTGCCCTGGTGGCCTGGAGTGCATGGGCAGCTGCCCAGGCACCCAACCCCGGGGGGTGGAGGAGATGACCCACAAATGCCTTGTGGACGTAGTGCCCTGTCCACCACTGTGGGGACGGCAGAAAGCATCCATGCTGCACTGGCCACAGGCTCCTGGGAAAGCATCCCCTGCCAGGCTGAGCCTGCCTCCCCCAGCATCCCCTGGTACCCGAGCAGTTGTGGCCAGAACCTGAAGGTTCCCCTGGCTGCTGCAGGAGGGCAGAGCAGGGCAGGAGTGGGCTGTGCACGGGAGCGGGAGCCCCACTTCCCGCCATGGGGCTGCACTCCAACTGGCTCTGTGAGCCCCACAGAGCTGAACCTGGCAGCGGGAGGCAGGGGAAAGCCACTGGCCAGGGCTGTGCTCTGAGCAGCTGTGCCACTGGCTCTCCTGCTGCCTCCCACCACTGGGCTGAGCTCAGTGGGGCTGGTGGAGCCGGTCGGAGTGCAGCCCAGCGGCAGGAGGTGGGGAGAGTCAGTGCTGAGCTCTAAGCAGCTCCACTAGCCCCATGGAGCTCAACCTGCACTCCTAGTGCTGCTGGACTCCTTCTGGGGTGTGGGCCCCCAGATCTGCACGTGGGATGACAGGAGGCTGCTGCTGCTGCCTGAGGCCAACAGCAGCACCAGTCTTCCCGGTACTGGGTGTGAGCTGCACCCAGTGCCAGTCCCAGGCGGCAGCCTCCTGTCATCCCATGCACAGATCCAGGGGCCGCACCCCTGGGAGGAGTCTGGCACAGCCCTACACCCCTCCCAGACCGGCGCACGGAATAACAGGAGGCTGCCGCTGTCGGCAAGTGACACAAGTTTTGCTTGTCAGCAACTTGAGGTACAGTTTCCCAGAAACCTCTGCACCTATCTCCTTGAAACTTGGCAGGCTTTATTCTCTCAGCAGGGGCTACCATCCCTGCAGTTTTCATCTGAATCAGGCAAGAAATGATAAAGTTATAGTCATTTTCATGATTCCCCATTTTAGCATATGGGAGAAACGTTGAAATGTGTTGAATCAGTGAAACAGTTTTGACGAAATGAAATGGAACAGTCCTTCGAAACTAAACAAAACGATGAAATGAAACACTGTCCCTTCAAAATGGTGAACCAGAAGTAAAAATGAAACGGTGCTGGTTTGTACAGCCTTACTGGAGACCAAAAGCACAGGACAGTCTTTTATGGAGGAGGGCTGGCACCCAGCTGTCTAAACCAGACTCCAATGTAACATAGTCTTCAAGCTGGTCTTCCTGTCCCTGGGAATTTTAGAGCACTTCAGAATGTTGCCCTTACACACTGCAGTAACCTTTCCCTTTTCTGAGGGACCTCCTGCAGCCATTCCAGTTTGTAGCCTGAATGAGCCACACACATCGCTACACATACCTGGAGGGGAGGTGTGTGTGGCTGGGTTAATTTTATGTTGGTACTGCCTCCTGGAGCTCCCTCTGGCTGTTGCAAGGAGGCAGAGCAGGGCAGGAGCAGTCCTGATCTATACTGCTCCTCCTACCTCAGTTTGCTCCTGACACAGGTGCGCTTGTACATGCTGCACCTGGGAGTAGTTTACTGCAGAGCAATTTGATCTGCAGTTTATTTGTGTGCATTACTTTCACATGTAGATGTGCCCTCCCTGGCATCATTTGTTCAGAGGATGCATGACTTTTATGTAATACCTGTTAGTGGACCTGTACTCCATGGATTCATCTAATTCCTCTTTTAATCTAGTTATGCCCGACCTCTACATTTATCAACACTGAAGTTCAGTTGCCACTTTTTTGTCCACTCCTCTATTTTGTGAGATCTTTCTGCAGTTCCTTACTATCAGTTTGCGATTTGACTACCCAGAATAATTTAGTATTACCTGCACACTGGGAGATGTCATTGTACGCTCTCTCTTCCAAGTTGTTGATGAAAATATATAGCAAAACCAGGCCCAGCACAATTCCCTGGGGGACCCAATATATCAACTTTCCTCCATCCTGAAAAATGACCATTTAAATGACCCTTTGTTTTTCTTAACCAGCTTTTGATCCACCAAAGGACCTTCTTTCTAGTCCTATGGTGAAGGACCTAGTCAAAAGATTTTGAAAATCCACATATCTTACATCAACTGCATCCTTCTTGTCCATGTGCTTGTTAATGCCCTCCAAGAGCTCCAGTAGATTGGTGAGGCAGGATTTCCTTTTGTAAAAACCATGTTGACTCTCTTCCTAAGTATATTATACTTATCCATGTGACTGCTGATTTTATAGAAGTGACACTGGTCTGCAGTTTCCAGAAGCCCTTTTTGAAAATGTATGTTATGTTGGCATCCCACCATTCCTCTGGCATAGAGACAGTTTATAACAATATTTTAGACACTATTGCCAACAGTTCCGCCTTTATGTTTCACACATGATTTCCTTCAGAACACCAGGGAGAATAACATCTGGGCCCAGTAACTCGTGTGTTAATTTATTGATTTATTCTAATACCTGTTCTGTTGTCAAGTTCTTCAGACCTGTCTGCTAGGAAGAATTGAGCTGATGTGGTAATCTCTCCAATATCCTCTATAATAAAGACCAATTCAGAGACTTTTTTAGCTTTTTTGCTATAGCCCTTTTTCTCCCTGAATGTACCTTTTTCACCTTGGTCATCTGCAATAATGTCATTGATTAGCTGGCTTCCTGCCTCTGATGCATTTAAAGTTTTATTATTAACTTTAGCACCTTTCGCTAAATTTTCCTCAAATTCTTTTTTGGCCTGCCTGATTACATTTTCACATTTGACTTGCCAGAGTTGGTGGGCTTTCCCATTTCCCCCATTTGGGCACATCTTCCATTTTTTTTGATGATGCCTTTTTGCTGGGGATCACCTCCTTAACTCTGCGGGTAAACTATGCAGAGTGTTGATTTGACTGCTGGCTGTCCTTTTTGGCCACATCCACATGAGCACAGACATTTGTTTTACCTGGGGACAAGAAGCAGCAGTACACCTCATTCCTGGGGTCAAAAAAACCCTCCACGCTGCAAGATAGCAGCATGGAGAACACCTGAATGTGTGGTGTGTGGCGCTGCAGATGGGTCTGTGGTGCCACATACCACATGGCTGCGCTTGTCTGGATGTGGCCTTTGGTTTTCAGTCTATACTGTTCCTGAGCCTCTAATATAGTGGTTTGCAGGCTGCCTCCAGGCCTTTTACATTTTTGACTGCTCCTTTTAACTTCTTTCTAACTATCTTACTCATGTTTGTCTAATTTCCCTTCTTAAAGTGATATCTTCTTGGTTTTTTGTTTTGTTTTGTTTTGGCTTACTCCCTCCCACTAAAATATTGAATTTGCTTATATTATGATTGTTATTACAGCTTAACAGGAAATACATTTTGAACCAGGTCTGGTACTTTACTTGGAAGCTAGCTAAGTTTCTAATGTGGAGCATAGCTGAGGCAGCATTGGGTAAGAGGAGGTGACAAATCACAGCACATTCATCCTTACTCCTGTAATTCTAGGTAGATTAGATTGAATGTATTAATATGATTCCTAGTTACTTAAATTATGTTAGATTCAGCTGTTATAAGGTCTGACAGAAACAGACAGAGGAAAGCTACATTTCAAAATGACTTATTAAAGAATGAATCAAGATTCTGTTTTGCAATATACCAGATATCAGACCTCAAAGAGGATCAACTGTTTAAGAAGGGAGACTAACTTTGAGAGAGAAATACCTGAAAGTTAGCTGAAAATCTCAATATAATGTTGATTATCAAAAGCATGTTTTTTTTGCATGTGGACAAGTAAAACTAATGCAAAGTCTATAACAAACAGTAAATAAGAGACATTACCTAAAACATTTTTGTTCTCTATACATTGTAATTAATTTAGGATTGCACGAAACCTTAGCCCTATTGACATCTCAGCTAAGACCTGATTCAAATCACAAAGAAGAAATGGGATTCCTTAAAGATGTCTTCAGTGAGAAGAGTCTCAGTTACTTAATTAAGGTAAATTATTTCTTGAAATAATTTTTTCTTTATGAGTAGTAATTTGCATTTCTTTGAATTTTTTTCACCATGGTACTCTGCAAATGCTTACTTATTATGGATCAGAGCAGACTAGATACAGATTAAGATGTACTTAAGTAAGGGCTGCAGCGCCAGGCGCTTTGAAAAGCACCAAGTGCTGTGACACTTGCAGTTGCAGAAGCAGGCAAACTCATGTCAGTGCTGAGAAAATGGCAGTGGTGCGCTTTTGAACTAAAATACATTGAAGGTGCTTTAGTTCAAAAGTGTATTGCTGCCATTTTCTGCGCGCTGACACGCATTTCATCACTTATACAACTGCACACGGTGCAACACAGTTCGCATCGGGTCGCATGTGGAGCAGACTCGATTAATCGAGTCTGCTTCGGAGCAGTGGATCTCTGGTGTGTCACGGAACAAAACAGTATGTGTATAAATACCCTTAACATTTCTGACTATTCCTGAATTAAGATAATCTTGAAGCTGGAGAAACTGTCTTCTTTCCAAAGCAGAAGGGGCATGGAGTTCTCCATCCTCAGTTGATACTTTTGTTACATTTTAATAATTGCTTTTTCTGTATAGAAATTTCGCTTTAATGTAATTGATAAGTGCAAATTTCAGTGTCCATAAATTCATTTCTTTTTGTGAAATCTTACATGTCCTTTGTCAAAAAGGAACAGTTCTACATTGACTGATCTTCAGAACTGATGGTTGTTTATGTGAAATTTTCAGAAGTGTTTGATATTAGATAAAAAAATTTGATTCGTGAGGCAAACGGAAGGATCAAGGATTAATGAGGCTTTCAGAAGATTAATGGGAGAGGGTTCACAATAGAATAGAGTAGAATAATGACTTACACATTATGATAGTATCCATTTACATCTTTTTCTGTCTTTCAGTCAGAGCTAAATAATTTATCTACCAAAACAGTGTCTTGATCCTAAGTCAACTGTGATTGACGTCTGAACATGGGCACAGAATATTAAGGCAGAAAGATAAGCATTTGTGCATTGTCTTCAATTTTTTTCCCTTCCCCCAGGCTACATAGGAAAAGAATTTCAAAAAGCGACAAGGGATTTAATGGCACAAAATGGAAGCTGTGCTCCTAACTTTTTTAGGCAATTTTGAAAGGTTCTCTGTGTGTTACTGTCACCTTGATAAACTTTCCTTTGTACATAATTCTTTCTGATGCAAGCAATAGAACTTCTAAGAAATTACTTTAAGCATGTTGCAATGGTGAAAAAATTGGGTATTTTTGCATCTCCATGTTGTCATTTGCCTAAAAACATCTCTATTTCAGATACATGAAAAGCTCCGTCATTATGAAAGGCAGAGTCCAACCCCTGTTTTACATAGTGCAGCAGCTTTGGTAGAGGATGTAAGTATGTTTTATTCCTATTACTTTATTCATAAATGACGTTATTTTCATTCTTAGATTTGAAATTTATACAGGAAAAGATTGGAAGTCTCAAACTGTAGTCACTCATATGAAAACTAAACCTTAATATATGGTTTGTTCACGTGTAAAGAAAAAAAAGGACATACTTCCAGAACAGCAGCATTCCCTCGTTCAACAGTTATACTTCTAAAAGAGGATTTGAGAATTAATTTAAATGATTTAGTGTACACAGGACTGTGAAACTTATTGTCACAAATTACTTTGAAGGTCAAGATTTTGGGGTTAAAAATTATCTGGTCATACAGATAACAGAAATATCCTTAATTATAATAGTAGTGTAAGCATTATGTTGTAGCTGTGCTTGTTCAGAAATTATGCAAGAGGAAAGGATTTCTTAGAATGATATATTTTATTGGGTCAGCTATGTAGTTGGGATAGAGTCGGACAGGCTTTCAAATGCATGCTGTGCTTGGCTTGTTCTGATTGGACCTGATTGAGAATGTCTGTCTTATATTTGAAAGCTTGTCTAATTTTATCCTGTGGCAGGGCAGCGGTTGTGCCTGCCACTTTAAGGACTGGTCCAGGGAGGGCCAGGTGCCTGATGAGGATGGCCCCTTTAAGGCCCAGCTCCCTGAGCTGAGGGCAGTTCATAATCAGCCAGCAGAGACGAAACACCTCTCTGCTGAGCTCTGCCAGGAACACCTTGGAGGCAAGGGTGGAGCTATGGGGATGGTTTGGAGGCCTCATTGGTCCTGGGCAAGACCTAAGACTGCACCCTGCTGGGGCAGGAAGGCCTGGTAGGGCTGCTAGTGGCATGACAGTCCCCATGTAAATGCCAGGAATGACCACCTCCCCAGTGCCTTAACCTCAGCCCCCATCTTCGGGTGGGTTATTTAATGCAGGGAAGGCCAGGTAGACTTCTTGAAGCGCCTGAGCCTGCTGGTGTGAGTGATCCCACAGGGTCAGGCATGTTTTGTGAAGCACGTGAGCTGGGAATGGGGGACCCCTGAAAGCAGGCAAGTAGCTTAGACCTGACCCGAGGTACCCAACTGGTCCATGCTGGGGCCAGGACCCAGAGAGGGGTCAAAAGGGCTAGGGGCCCATTGCGAGGGATGCCCACACAGCAAAGAAGCTCAAGGTCCTGACTGGCTTGACATGGGACCTGGGCCTAAGGGGGAGCTGAAGGTCCCAGAGAGGGGACCACAGCTAATGGGCAAAGGGTACGGTTGAGTTAGCTGCCTGGGATGCCATCTGTGAGGCTTGGCCCGCAGTGTAGGGATGGAACGGAGCTCCAGATAACCCTCTAAACATCGGGGTTTAAAATGGGTGGCCTCCCACCTAATTAACACCTCAATACTATTACATCAAGACATGGCAGGTGAGTGAGGTGGGTGGCTGGCTCATAGACAGGAGGGAAGCCAGTGTTTGCACTGGGCGTGAAAGCTTGTCCCTGTCACATATCCCAACAATAAAAGAGATCACCCTAAGAAATCCTTGCTTCTTGCATAATTTCTGGACCATTATGGCTACATCAACATTCTTACGCTACCTTTTGAATGCAAGGCATTCTCTGTCAGCTTGTGTAACTTTATCCCAATCATGCAATTAGTCCAATAAAAGACACCACCCACAAAAATCCTTGCCCCTTGCATAATTCTTGGAGCATTATAGCAACAACATCACTCCAACTTTATATCTGAAAGCACTCACTTTTTTAAAAGTGTCAAGGGTATTTGTTTATTTGCCCAGTTTATATACAATTAATTCTCAGTTTTGATTGCATTTCAAAAATTGATCTTGTAAAAAAGGGGCCTGCTTGTGGCCAATCACCATAGTGGCCTGCCCCTCTGTCTAGGGCAATCTGCCCTGTTTTTCCTGCCACAACTTGTTGTAATGAACTTGATGTAAAATACGGGAGGCTGCCCATGTAATGCCCTGATACCTAGGGCATTACACATGGGTCCGACCTTCCCTATACTGTGTCCCATGCCTCGCAGATGGCATCCATATTGTACAGTGCCTCACACCAACCCGTGCTCCAGGGTCTCATTTGGGACTCTCGCTCCCCCCTGGAGCTCACTGTCACTATGCTGCCACTCTGTGTACTAAGTTACCTGCTATAACTCCCCTGACCCCTTACTGGCTGCCTTTAGCTGTGGTTGCCCCAGGTATCCTCAGATATGCACTGCATGCCCTCTCACTGGGGCCAGCACTCCTCCACCCCCTCACTGGGGCTACTCCTCCATCCTCTCACTGGGACAACAATTTACTCCCCTCACTGGGTCCTACTCACTGATCCGCTTTAGTGCAGCCCTTCAGGTCACCCCTTGCAACCCTACTTTGTACCCACTACTGCATAACCTTCAGGCCTCCCTTGTGGCCCTACTCTGTGTGGCCTATTCTCTTACTCTGCCCTCTCACTGGGACCAACACTCCACCCTTATGCTGAGGCCTTGGGGTCTTGCACCCCTCAGGCTCAGCTGCCTCTCCCTAGACATGCCTGGCCCCACTACCAGTTACTTTCCACAGGCATGGGTGTCCGGAGACGTGCCTGGCCCACTGCTTGCTCTATGACCAACTAAGTTGTGAGGGCTGGTGTTATAAGGTGTCCCTACCCACCTTTCACCGGGGAGGGAACTGGCCTGCAGTTTCTGGGGAACTGCCCCACTGTGGGCAGT